CTTTTTCTCTCTATATTCTGTTTTGCGTACTTTCTACTACTACATTGAGAAATTCACTTACCTTTTCTCCTGCAGTGTTTTTTTTTCTGCTATTAGTTTTATGAAGTTTACTTTTATGACTTTTTTCTTCTGTTAAAATTTAATGTATGTATTTTTATATTTTTCATATCTCTCCTTAATATGCAAATTCCTTCTCCAACACATGGAACAGAGTCTTGTTAACATTTTTAATGTTCTTAAATACATATATATCATCTGTGCCATTATTGGTTTAGTTTCAATTAACTGACTTTTGTCCTTACTTTTAGATGTAATTACCTGCTGATTTTCATGGTTGGTAATTTCCAAGAGCATGTCAGCCAGACATTTTAATTTTACCTTGTTGAATTCTACATAGTTTAAACATTATAGAGAGCCCCAGTTTACTAGAGTGCAACTTACAATATTTTGACTTTAATCATGGGTTTCTCAGGATGTAGCTCCATCCTAAGTTGAGGAGCATCTGCACTTACAATGATTTGACTTATGATTTTTAAACTTTATTTATGGTGGGTTTTTTAGGGTATTACATGCATTTTCCATTTAGGATATTTTCAACTTATGATGCATCTATTGAGATGTAGCCCAAATATAAATCCAGGAGCATCAGTACTTTAAATATTCCTAAGGTTTGCTCTAAGATACCATCAGGTTTCTTAGAACTAGTTTTCCCATTTTAATCCTTGCTTTTAGGGAAGCTTTGAGGGAAAGAGAAGCCTTTGGTCTATGGCTAATTTTTCCTAACTACAGATACAATACATTTCTAAGTAATGTGCCTGAAACTATGTCCTTTACAAGGTTGTTATACTCTGGCTGGTAGGAACATAGCTTCTTTAAATCACTAATTGACCCCTTTTGGTTAAGTGTTTTCCTGAGAATTGGTTAATTTTCCCACATGCAGATAGAAACATGTATTTAGCTGAAAACCCAAGGGGAAATTCTGTGAATCTCCAGAGTTCTTTCTTTATATGACTCACTTTTCTCTGTTCTGCTGATTCTAATTCCATCTCAAGTAAGAGAAAATTCCAGGCTCAGTGTGGATTCCTTATCCTTGTGCATGGGCTGAAAACTCTTTCTCTAGGCAGTAAGATAGAGCAATGGTAGAGCTCATCTCATCTGTTAACCCTGTCTTAGGGATCACTGTTTTGTGCTGCCTCTTTTGTGCTGCCAGTGTATAAAAACTACTCTTCAATATGTTTTGTCTGGTGTTTATTTTTTCAGTGTATTCTCTGTTACTCCATCTTGACTTGAAGTAGGAATCACTTCCCACCCACATGGTCTCATATGTATTCTTTAAGATTTTCTTCTATTATGTTCCCCAAATTACTTTTTCATACTGTGACCTTTAATGCACTAGAATTGTAATACTACATATAGTAATACATACAGACTCCATTTTATTCTCCTTGCCTGTGAACCAGTTTTCCCAGTATTATCTACTAAGTGTTTATTTGTTGCAACACACATTTTAGTGCTGTTTCCTTATCTACATGCAATTGCCTTTGAACTTTCTATTCTCTTCCGTTGATGTGTTTTCTGTTCTTTTGCCAATTCCCTTTTGATTTTAATATTATATCCTTGTGTTAGTATCTCCTGTCTCTCAAATTTTATGCTTTTCATTTCCATTTCTGTTGTAATAGCATTGATTGGAATCTCCTCTATTGTGTTAAATAACAGTGATAATAGTGGGTATTCTTGCCTTGGTCATGATCTTAAGAAAAATCTATAAAATGTCTCCATAAGTATAATATTTTATATTTTTTCATAATACATTGAAGGATAGATACATTGAAGCAGATGAGGATTATGCAATTGGTTTACATTTCAAATTCTTCATATTCACTTACAACAATAATACTCATGTCAATGGATTTGAAACGGCATCAATATGGTTCTGAACAGTTCCTATATTAGGGCAATAAAATATAAAGTGTGTATTTATAAACTTAGAATACTCAGGATTAAAAGTGTATACTTCATTTATACAAAAATCACGTTTTTTTCACACAATTGTTTTCTCTAGAAACAAAGAGACATAACACACACTGATTTCAAGTACAATAAATTTCAAAATGCAGTTTTATGAGGTCTCTTTGAAATTAGACAATTTATCTTGTCTCTGTGGATCATGTTAAATTAAGACTCAAGTATTTTTATCCAAGAATATTGATAAACATTAAGTATATGAGTTTAAGGAACCTAATATGGTATATGACACATTGAATACAACAAAAAGTTTGTATGGCTGGGAGCTATGGCTCATGCCTATAATTATAGAAATTTGGGAGGCTGAGGCAAGAAGATTGCTTGATCCCAAGAATTTGAGACCTGGGCAGCAAAGTGAGACCCCATTTCTACAAAAAATTAGAAAACTTAGCCAGGCATGGTTTGGCATACCTGCAGTCCCAGTTACATGGGGAAGGTGAGGCAGGAGAATTGTTTGAATGCAGGAGGTTGAGGCTATAGTGAGCCATCTTCATGCCACTGCATATGCCTGAGTGACAGAGCAAGACCCTGTCTCAAAACATAAAGAAACAAACAGTATTTCATTCCAGTAGATGTTTACCTTTGATGTGTAAGCATTCTATAAATATGAGACAATACTGTGTTCTTATATGTAATTTTGTGATGAATTTAAATAATACATTATTATAATAACTTTATAACATTTCAATAAAATATCAATAAAATAAATATTATTAAAATATTCATTATATTCTTCACTACAATGAACACAAATCTTTAAGTAAATACATATAAATTTAGTTAAAATGAAGAAAATTCAATCCAGATGTCTTGTTTCTACAATGCCTGTCAATTGGATATTTATTAATCCAGCTTTTAGACTAGACATTTTTTTCTCATCTAAGTGATTAAGAACAACAGGCACAATCAGAGAAGAATATAAAAATTCATGCAGTAATTTCGATTTCAATACATTTTATATAAAATATATTAAAATCGCATAGTTGCAGTTTGAATTTTAGACATTTCATAATTAGAAGATTGCTCTAGTAATTTACTTTGTATAGGAAGATTGGATGTTAAAAAGAAAACAAGTAACTTTGGAGATAAAATTCCTAGACACGTTTCTCAACCTATATGTAATATTAATTTCCTTGCTCTCCCTCTTTCTCTGGCTCCCTCTCCCTCTACATATGTACATAATTTTTATAACTATAGAATATTTATATATTTGAAGATATTTATATATTAATATTATATTTAGCAAATCTTAATTTTATAATGAATTATTTTATGTAGTGAAATTCCAGAAAAGTACAAAAATGACTTTCATTTGAGATAGAAAACACAAAACTTAAAATTGATTACAATGCAAATGTTTACCTTGTCTAATTCAATTATAAGGTGACAGTGCTCTTAGTGGGCAATATCTGGAAAAATTCTTTAATATATAAATAATGTTGCATATATACACATTTTATCAGTTTATGGCTAGATCATCATAGGTAGTCCCTGGCTAGTTACAATGCTATTATTCAATTTTATCCTTTAATAACAAAGAACTAGCCAAATGTTTTCCCTAATGAAGAGTGATATTTAGCCAGCTCCAGAACTGAGCCACCGTTTCTGATCAGTTTACATTAGACTCAGATGGTGGTGATTTAGGAAGCTGTTTTGTTTTAGGGACAGCCTATTTAAAACAGCATATCAGATGTTTATTGAATATATATCTACGAATGGCATTACTCAATCATAAGCATACATATATTCTGTCTTAATAGATAGAATTGACAATTAAAATTGTCAAGAAATGTTCCCAAAGAAAAAATAATATAGTAATTTATTTTGAAAAATTGTCAGTTTCCAGTAAAGCTGAACGTACTCAAGTTCTACGACCTGACTAATCCACACCTGGGATTTATTCAAATGTGCACCGGAACACATGTAAAAGAATGTTCATAGAAACATTACTCAGATTGGCTAAAATTGTAAGGAACCCAAATGTTAATCAATATAGAATAGGTAAACAAACAGTGGTATATTTATAAAATGACATAGTATACGGTAATGAAAAATGTCACCTGAGAAAACATGAGTGGATCTCATAGATATGGTGTCGAGTGAAAGAACCTAGACACAAGAGGGTATGCTGAATGATTCAATTTATACGATGCTCAATAGGAGGCACACGTATCTAATAACAAGCCAAATGGTGGTTATTTTGGGAGATGGTGGTTAGATTGTGGGCTCTGAATGATGGTTAGATTAAGCAGAACGATTAAGAAATGTGTACGTTATACATGTTATAATTCGATAAAATGTAAATTTAAAAATACTACACCAACTATAGGAAATAATTTTCACATTTAGGTAAGAAAAGTAGATGATCAGAAAAAGAGTAGCGAGAGGATTTTATTTATGAACTTTATTCTTTGGCACTCATTTATTTCCCCCTAAATTCTGTGTTTCAGAATTAGGGACTTGCCAACTCAGCACTTAAATCCTCAGAGATTCCAAAGTTCTTGCCTGGGGCTCCTCCCGCTTGGAGGCGGGTGAGGATGGATGTATACAGGGGCACGCACACATACACGGAGAACTGAGCTCCCGTCCGGTTCCACACAATACAACAGGAACTTCACAAACAAGAGCAAAGCTGTGGGAAAAGCAGGTTGTGGGTGGCCCCGCGCTAGTTCTCAGGATTTCAGCCGCGGCCCGCTGGACAGCTCCAGGATGACTTCCGCTTCTCTGGGCTAACAGTGGGGCAGGTGCTTCTACTGATCCCCGAGGGACAGCTCCTTGTTCCTGAAAGGCTGTTTTCCCCTAGCTAACCGTGAGAACAAACCACTGAATACGGAACAAAGACGCAACCGCTTTGCTTTTTTTTTTTTTTTTTAATTTAAATTCCGAGTTAGCCGGAGCCATTTACTCCCTCTAGAAGCGGAGCTCCCGAGTGTGTGGACAGAACCCTCCCCAGGTCCTGAACGCTTACGGACGGGGCGCAGTGACGCGCGCCTCGCGGGCAGTAAAATTGCAGGGGGGAAAGGGAGGAACATCGATTAAACCCAAATCGTGGGCGTGCAGTCCTCAGGGCACCGGAGTGCGTGAAAACTCCAGCGGACTCTGCTGGAAAGGAGATCATGCCCTCTAAGTCTCCTTCCAACCTCTCAGTGACCTCCGGCGCGAACAAGAGCGGTTCAGTTGCAGAGAGGTGGGAAAGGGATTTCCTGCCGGCCTCGGACGGGACTACCGCGGAGTTGGTGATCCGCTGTGTGATCCCGTCCCTCTACCTGCTCATCATCACCGTGGGCTTGCTGGGCAACATCATGCTGGTGAAGATCTTCGTCACCAACAGCGCCATGAGGAACGTCCCCAACATCTTAATCTCTAACCTGGCGGCCGGGGACTTGCTACTGCTGCTCACCTGCGTCCCGGTGGACGCTTCGCGCTACTTCTTCGACGAGTGGATGTTTGGCAAGGTGGGCTGCAAACTGATCCCGCTCATCCAGCTCACTTCCGTGGGGGTTTCCGTGTTCACTCTGACTGCCCTCAGCGCCGACAGGTAAGAGTACAGGTAGCTGTGGGTGACTTGGAAAAGTCGTGGAGAGGGGCGGGGAGAGAAGACTCACCCGAATGCACCTACTGGCAGAAGGACGCAAGGAAAGGTTGGGTGTCGAGAGGAAGAGAGGGAGAGAGTGTGTACCTGGGAAGCAGAGTAAACAGAGTTAAAATGGACTGAGATGTGAAGCTTGGAAAAATATATGAAAATTACTATGTTTTAAAAAACAAAATTGCATTTAAAATTGCATATCCTAGTCTGACTCCTGACACTTAGGAAATATTATTTCATAGAAAAGCTATAGAAAAAATGTGCAAAAGAGTGTCTTGTTGAAGCTTGTTGTGTGTGCTTAAAATCTTGTAAGTGTACTTTCCTTTATGCAGTAGAATAAGAATCTAATAGGTAAGAATGTCTGCTTAATATTAGGGAAATATTTAATTTTGATTTTTTTTCAAGTAGGAGGAGAACTTACTTACATTTATTAACTGAATTTTACTATTTCGTAGAAGTAAAACCAATTACATTAATAAATATTCTTTAAGCAGATGACTTCTCACTTTCTTCTTAATACCTGAAGCTAAGAGACTTTTTTTTTCCCCCACAGATAGGTACCCAAAATACATCTTTGATATTAAATCTGCTTTTCACATATGTTAAGGGTGTGAAGTGTCTTTTTGCAGATCAACTAGTTCAACTTTGTCATTTTTCAGATGTGCATATTGAGGCCCAGGGAATGTAATTTCTAATGGAAGACAAGGGAGGAAAATCCAAGTCTCCTGACTCCAGGTCCATTTAAGCAGAAGGGAATGTTTGGATAGGGGTGAGGGAAAATGCAAAGTTAGCTATCTTTACATGGAGCTGTGCTTTAATTGCCTCAGTGTGAGTGGAGGACTGACTTAAACTATTTAGATAAACAATTAACTTGGATAATTAAGTTGGTATTCACTCTCCTCTTTAATTTACATATTCAATTGCTAATGAAAAATGAATCTGTATCTGAATTTCCTGGTATTTGCAACAATACTGGAATATTACTTTGGCATTGAAGAGTTAATCTTCATTGAGGGAAAGATGACATTCAACAGAGACTTGAGAAACTGAAAGTGATTCACTTTCTTGAAAACCACACTCCTGGAAATTTAGGTGCTTTTTGTATAAATTATGTACCTAATTTTGTTTATGTGGCAGCATTTCTATTATCTTTTAAAATGTTTTCTCTGAATTCCAAAGCAAAAACATGACTAGTTTAGCTGCCCCTCTTTATGCAATCTTATTTTACCTAGAAAGTTTAAAAAACCTACTTAATGATTAGAATAAAACTTAATGATTAGCAACCACAATAGTTTAAATTACTATCATTATGCTTTCATTTTAAAGACATGGCATTGGTAGCAAGACCCAGGGTTGGAGTTTATTTCACACTAGGTTTTACAATCTATTGTCATGGCGACACATGACGATTTACACAGGTAAATTTGCCCTGGCCAAGATCAGAGAAAAATAATAATCCTCATATATTTACTGACTTTTTCTGTTTCATTTGTGTGTCGTATACTCCGTGAATACAGAATGAATAATTTAGTAATAATGATAAGGAAAAGTGAGATGCCTCTTCTACTTGGTCTGTAGGCTACACTTGTCTACGAGTGTGTTCAGGAAATATAAACTAGGAAACCTGAGTAACTGTTGGTGAAGTTATGCAATATTTTCCATGATTCACTTAACATGGGTTGGAAATGGTTTGTTATATATTGTCTACACTTCTGTTTTTCTTCTAGAGCATAGCAATCAGTAGTTGATTAGTACTTGATAACCTCTTACTACATTTCACCAAACGCTATGATTTCTGGTGGATGTGGAATCAATTGTAGGATTAATTGCACTTAGCACAGTGCTATTTGTGTGTGTGTGTGATTTTTCAATTCTCACAACGCTGTGAGATAGGCACTATTATTTTTAAATTAAAAACTTTAAAGCTAAGAAAACTGAGATTAAAAATTCAGTACCATTTTTATGATCACACAGCTAGCCATCATGGTGCCAACATGTTTGAACGCCATTTAAAGTCTGAACACTTCACCATTAATCCACATTATTACAATTCTGGGTGTAAGAAATTACTAATAGTATTTTTTATTTACCTGCGGACTTAAAAGTTGAGTTTAAAACAAAGCACCCAAACATTAAAAAAAAAAAAAAAAAAAAAGAGTACAGGAGCTGACTCATGAGATTTATTACAGTGAAAAAGCATCATAAAATGTAACTGCAAAATAAAAAAAGTGCCCTGAATTCAAAATTAAGTAGTAGTTCCAAAAATAAAACTATAATAAACAAATAAACAAAACTCTGTTATTAGAGTCTTTAAACAGTAAATTCAATTATTTGTATATGTATCCTGTCTTCATACATGGCCTAAGTATCTTTGCCTAATAAAGTTAACAGTAGAGAGTTAAAAAATAGAGATCACAGTACATAGTAAAAATCAGGAAGATAATTAGATTTCAGAAAGCATATTCTAATGTGAAGTGGATACTCTTATTCTATACTTCAGTGATGTCAGATGTCAGTATCATTAGATTGCAGAGACTAAAATGAAAAACACGAATATTTTGAATCCACCTCGAGGCCTAAATCACTTTGTTTGATAAGGCCAAAGGGTGGTCAGATGACACTGGTATCTGTGATTATTATTATATTTTACTTTTTTGAGACAGAATCTTGCTCTGTCGCTCAGGCTGGAGTGTAGGGGCGTGATCTTGGCTCACTGCAACCTCTGCCTCCTGGGTTCAAGCAAATCTCCTGCCTCAGCCTCCCGAGTAGCTGATACTACAGGTGCACACCATTACGCCTGGCTAATTTTTGTATTTTTAGTAGAGATAGGGTTTCACCATGTTGGCCAGGCTGGTCTCGAACTGCTGACCTCAAGTGATCTGCCTCCCTCGGCCTCTCAAAGTGTTGGGATTTCAGGTGTGAGCCACCGCGCCCGACTGTGTCTGTGATTATTAATCCTTGACTTTCCATACTCTTCCAAGGAGTTTCAGCAGACACATCCCTAGGCAACAGCATTTGTGCCCACTGCAGTCGTGCCTCAGAGGCACATCATCATAACCAGTATGGCTGGAGGAGAGACAGTGCATGGTATGAAGTGGTGATAGTGGTGATCTTAATTTATTATCATTTTTTACTGTTATCTTGATAGACATTTTTCTTACAACTTTGAAAATGTACATTGTTTGCTTGTTTACATAAAGTAGTTGATTAAAAATATTTGTATATTTTATGTTGTATGATGTTTCTAACAGTTTTATACATACACACATACACACAAACACACACACATCCCACCTTCCACCGTGGAGTATTGGGACGTGTGTGCTGTGACATCAGGTTGGTGGCGCCCTATAAGCCATATTTACTTATGGTTGATGTTATAGTGATCTCCTTCTCTATCTATGAGTAGCTGCATTTCCAAATTTGGAATGTTATTTATTTGATTCTTGAAGACCTTTTGGCCTCTGATGGCACATTATTAAAATGCTAATAACTCTTAGGAATGGAATTTTCCTTTTTCCTTTATAGGAAAAATTCTCACAGATTCCTAGTGCTAAACTGTAAACTTTATAATTTCATGTATTAACAAATATAAAATTAGATATCAATTCTTTATTCTGGCTTCTTATATGCTAACCAAAATGCACTTATAAATTAAATTTTAAAATACAAATTATGAAAACTATAAAAAATAAACTAATATTAGTTTAATGTATTGGGTGACATTTTTTTCTGACACCAAATAGCCAATGTTGGATTAAATGTAAAAATAATATTTTACCAAATCTGATTAAATTTCTATTGTATTAATAATTATTAATAAAAAATCAAAGTTTTTATGCGCTGGTAAGGATAATCAGATTTTATTCCATAACTAGGTCAGTAGACAAATTCTTGAATCATTAATATTAGTTTTACATTATATCAATGCAAACAGACATTCTATTGAGTGTAATTATTTGTTAAGATACTGAAATAGATTGGATACAGGCCCTGGGTCTAACACTCTCTAGGATTCATAGGACTTTTCCATCAGTCTTCATCCAGTGGTGGGAGGGCATGCTGTTAACTGTTTGCTGCTTTCTCATCAAAACTCCTAACTGAAGCTCAGGTTCAGGTTAACCAGCTGCCCCTGACTGAAGATGATGTTTTCTCCTTTGCTCCATATCCCTTGCCTCTCAGTCTCTTAATTGGTAGTGAGATTGGCACCTAGAGTGTGCTTCTAACTCTTTAGAAGAATAGTTCACATTCACCCTATAATACTAGAGTGATGACTTATTTATATTAAACTTATTTTTGTTCAACTTTGTATTACTCACACTGCTATAAAGAACTACCTGAAATTGGGTAACTTATAAAGAAAAGAGGTTTAATTGACTCACAGTTCCACAGGCTGTACATGAGGCATGGCTGGGGAGGCCTCAGGAGACTTAGAATCATGGCAGAAGGGTGAAGGGGTAGCAAGCATGTCTCCACATGGTAGCAGGAGAGAAAGAGCTAAGGGGGAAGTGCTACAAACTTTCAAACAACCAGATCTCAGGAGAACTCATTTACTACCACGAGAACAGAAAAGGGAAATTTGCCCCCATGATCCAGTCACCTCCCATCAGGTCCCTCTGTCAACACTGGGGATTACAATTCTACATGAGATTTGGGTGGGGATACAGAGCCAAACCATGTCAAACTTGTGACAGGAGAATTTAGGGCAGCTTAAAAATAAAGATACAAACAACACACCGCAGGACTAAAAAGGGAGGAAATCAAGGGTGGGGAAAAGAAAAGTTGGAAAATATAAAATGATCCATACTTTCACAAAATGCGAGTCATAGGTTTTTCTGAGAGCTTTCTAGTTGCCTTTTCAAAAAGAAAAAATTGCTTTCCATAACAAATGCTCTGTTGTTATTTTTATATAACCATAGAAACAGAATCCATTGTAGTTTCTGCACATAATTTATTAGTTTTTAATTTGAATTTACAGGGCTTATTGTTGAATAAAGGTTATTATATTTGACTCGAATAAATTAGATATCTTTTACTCATTGATCTTGAACACTTCTAGTTTATCTCTTTCTTTTATACTTAGAAGTAATTTCACACACTGAATTAGAAAGGCACTGTATAATTCTCACAAGATTCATAATATTGCCATAATTTATATGTTGCTTATAGCTTTTGAAGATTATCCATCTATCTTGATCTGAAACTTTTGGGGCACACTACAAATAAGGAGGGATTGCATCAGGCTTGGGTTTATGGTTCCTGGGTGCTAACCATGTATCCGTTACATCTAAATGTTTTAGTTGGAGAAAAATGATAAAACAGCACAAAACTCATGGCCATAAAGTGGTGTTTTCCTTATTTGCAAAATAAGATTCATGTCTTCCTCATGATGTGACATATCATAATTAAAGAGCAGGCATCTGATTCTTCAAATACTTAATTTCTGCTGGATTCTGGATACTATCCATTCTTTTGCTGAATGTGCACCCATTGCACTGGACAGCCTTGCTGGAAGCCTGTGGCAAAGATGCTCACTGTTGCACACAACTCTCTTAAAACATGGTTTCTAAACCCAGTTTATCATCAGAATCACCTGGAAATCTTAGTATGCAGAATCCCACACTTCACATTCTAGGGACTCTGCATTAGTAAGTCTACAGAGAAGCCTAATCATATTCCCTCTCTCTCTCTTTTTTTTTTTTTACTTCTGTAGGTTTTTCTGAATATTGATGCATCTTAGGCATCACTGGATTAGACTCAGTCTCCATTTGTCATCGCCATTCCCACTTCAACATAATACCCAACAACTCCTACCACAATTGCTCCTAACAAGGATCTCCTTGTTGCTCAGCCTATAGTTTCAACCATTTATTGAGACCCTATGGACTCTATTGGCCAGGCCAGGCATTGTGTTATGTATTAGAGATATAACAGTGAGCAAGACCTTTCTCTTATTATACAGTTTACACTCAGACTTTTTGTGGACCTATTCCTTGCCTGATAGATGAAAGTTTAATTAAAAAATAAATAAATAAATAAATTTTGGGTAGCGTCATTAGAAAGATTAGTGTAGATGGAGATTTTTGAGATGCTATGATGACTTTATAAGAGCTAGAAAAGATCCCATTTTTATTAGGTATTTTGTTTCATAATTAAATGTAATTATCTCTTTACATTAAAATTTAAACTATGCAGATGTTACAAATGAGATCCAAAATAAGAATTGATGAAGAAATCTATTTGTTTATTGAGGTTTAATACATGAATAGTGATTATTTTTCTCTTTATATGCCTTTTGATCAAAATTCTCTAGTATTTAGTTTTCAATTAGGGATATCCTCCTGAGACCATCTGTAAGGGAAAATATACCTTTTTACACATACCTCCTATGCTAATATACACAGTGAAACACTTTTTATGCTAAGAAATACTTTTCCTCACATTTCTATAAATATTTGAAGGAAGCATGATAAAACATGCCCACATTAATTTGCACTATCTCATTTTAATTTTTGCTTTTTAATTCTTTCAAAGATACACACAGTTGGTATACAACATTTTCTTCGACAATCGTAAGCTATGTCTCAGTACTAATAACATTTTGGTAAGTGTTTATAGTATTTTCAACTATAATTCTGTTTTTGTAGGATTTTCAATTCTGCCCTTTTATTCAAATGTGTATCATTTAGAGACTATCATTGGGGTCTATCCTTTTCTTGCAGGAGGTGGCTCATAATCCTCCTTGTTGGAAAGGCCAACATTTCTGCTAGGTTTCTTGCTTTCCTTAAACCAAGATTTCTGTATCCATTTCTAGCAATCTTATCAAAATGAGAGATTTATTGTTTTAATTTCGATTTAAAATTTCTCTGTATCTTTTATGGTTATAATGCCTGTTTGGTATGAATGTTTATGTTGGCCAAAATTCATATGTTGAAATCCTACTCCTCAAGATGATGGCATTAAGAGGTGGGCCTTAGGGAGATGATTAGGTAATGAGAGTGGGGCCCGCATGAATGGGATTCACACCCTTATAAAAGACTCCAAAGAGACCCTTGACCTTTCCACTATTTGAATAAGCAGCAAGAAGATCCATCTGTGTAAAAAAAAGGGGGACCCTCACCAGACACTGAATCTCTCAATGCCTTTATGTTAGATTTCCTAGTCTTGAGAATTGTGACAAATTTCTGTTGTTTATAAGCTGCCCAGTGTATGGTACTTTATTAGAGCAGCCCAAGTAAACTACGACAGTACCTCTACAATAGTACATGTGCTTAGATATGAGGTAGAGAAGTGACATTTTCTTCTCCTTTTTAAATATGTGGAGGAAAGTTCAGAATACCCTTCACAGTTTTTGATAATCTAGAAAGAAGGCTTGATCTTTTTGTAGTGATAACCTCTCTGCCCTTTCCTTGTCTTCTTCCACAGAAAAAAGAAATTGCAATCAGTTTTTTGGTACTTTCCTCTTAAATATGAATTGTCAGTCAATAATAATGCAAATTTATTGGGAGAGATTACAGTACAAAGAGATCAAACAAACAAACAAATCTGGAACTAGGCTGGAAAGAGATTAAATGTTTATTTCTATATTAGTTTTATAGATACATAGCAAGGGCTGGTTGCAGTAGCTCATACCTATAACCCCAGCACTTTGGGAGGCTTAGGTGGGCAGATCACTTGAGCCCAGGAGGAGTTTGAGACCAGCCTAAGCAGCATAGCAAAACCTCGTCTCTACAAAAATACAAAAATTAGCAAGGCTTGGTGGCACATGCCTGTAGTCCTAGCTACTTGGGAGGCTTAAGGGGTGGGGAGGTTGCTTGAACCTGGGAGGTGGAGGGTGCAGTGAGCTGAGATCAGGCAATTGCACTCCAGCCTGGGTGACAGAGTGAGACCTGTCCATAAAAAAAAAAAAAAAAAGATATATGGCAAGAATGTGCACATATAACATAGGAATAGGACACTATAAAAAAATTTGAAAACATAAAAAATCTTATAGGAACTTATATCAACGAAAGATGATAGAAATTTTAAAATTCAGAAAAAATGATGGAAAGTAAAGCTTACAGAAATCTTGGAAATTAAAATCAAGAAGAAAGTGAAGTTGTGCTTGATAAATGTGATTTTCCAAAAAACATCAGAGATTGGGTAATAATTCAGATTTGTCTAACTAAAATCATGTGGTACTGCATCTTATTTGCTAGGTATATTATCATTTGAAATACTTTAAAGAGAAATATAAAAAATTCGAGTTTTACATACCATTTTTAATTATTTTCATCATCATTGGCCTTACTCAATGTGCGTGTTTGAGTTAGCTGCAGAAAGGTTTGGATTGTTTACTGTGTCCTGGAGTGTGATTCCTTTATCACTAGTACATTGCTGGTATATTGTCATTAATATTTTAGGTTGGGAGGAGAAAATAACTTATGGGATCTTGACATGAATAAAATTTGAGCTATAAAGACAAAATATTGTTCTGCTTTCAAGTTTTCAGTCCTATTATTGGATTATGGAGAAACTCCAATCTAGATTAGTCTTTTATTTATTTTATTTTGTCAAAATACAGTATGACAATCTAGATTAGTTTCTAAAATTCATTAATGTTTTTAGAAAAAGAGTGAAAGGTTCACACTCAGAAGTATTGGGAAAGTATCAAGGAAGGATTGAATAACATTATTTTGTGAACATCTTATATTTTGGTATTCATACATTATGACAGATGTAACATATATAGATTTAGAAGAAGTTTAAGAGGTAAACAAATGTCCAGAATTTTGGAAATGAAATAACTAGGATTTAGGAAATGCCAATTTAAAATATTTTTCTCTCCCTTCCTGTTTTCTGTGCTAATAAGTAGCGGAATGACTTGTAGACTGAGAGACACCAGGAATCTTAGGTCTTACATACACTTTTAAGCAGCCAGGGAATAAATAAATTTGAGCTACAAAGACAGAATATTGTTGGCATTTCTCTTACTAAGCAGGATGTTCTTTCTCTTCATTTTCCTTCCTTCCTTCCTTCCTTCCTTCCTTCCTTCCTTCCTTCCTTCTTCCTTCCTTCCTTCTTCCTTCCTTCTCTTCCTTCTCTTTTCCCTTTCTTTCCTTTCCTTTCTTTTTCTTTCTCTTTCTCTCTTTCTTTCTTTCCTTCTTTGCTTCTTTTCCTTTCTTCCTTTCTTTTTCTTTCTTTTCTTTCTTTCTCTTTTCTCTTTCCTTTCTTTCTTTCTGGAATAACTTGAGATGTATCATTTTCCCAGGTACAGAGCCATCGTTAACCCCATGGACATGCAGACGTCAGGGGCAGTGCTGTGGACCTGTGTGAAGGCCATGGGTATCTGGGTGGTCTCCGTGTTGTTGGCAGTTCCCGAAGCAGTGTTTTCAGAAGTGGCACGCATCAGTAGCTTGGATAATAGCAGCTTCACAGCATGTATCCCCTACCCTCAAACAGATGAATTACATCCAAAGATTCATTCAGTACTCATTTTCTTGGTCTATTTCCTCACACCACTTGCTATTATTAGCATTTATTATTATCATATTGCAAAGACCTTAATTAAGAGTGCACACAATTTTCCTGGAGAATACAATGAACATACCAAAAAACAGGTAAGCTTGATAGGTGTGGGTTGGTGGTGTGCTGGTCAGAACAAGTAACTGCTATTATTGTTTTATTTTGTGGGTTTTTAATCCTATGACTGATGATTACAGAGTTGGGCCTTCACAGGCCTTAAGTAGAAGGGATATGTGGGGATCTCTAATATATGGTCATATCAGAGCCCCGCAAAGGCCCACTTAGGTTGTTTATCATTTATCTGGATCTGTGATAAGACCTGACATTCCACCATTAGAAATTAATGTATTGAAAGACCTGTTTTACGTGCAGAGTTTTATGTAACAAACAACATAATAAACCAGAAAAATTTCACATATGAGCATACATTAATTTAATTCTTGTTTCTTCTCCCATTAACCCACTAAGGATGGCAGGGAGTATAGAAGAAGGATGCACCAGGAAAGGACTCTAGGACACTGCCTGGGATCTGGGGATGGGATTTGGGTGGAAGTCAGAATGAGAGATGAGGAGAATAGCAGGAGTAGCAGAAAAGGAACCCAAAGGTGCAATCCAAAGGTGGGCTGGTGTTGAAGCAATATGTGACCCAACTCAAATTTGTAACTTTCCCTACAAAGATAATATGCTCATTTAAAAATTACATCATGCACCTTATGTACTTTTTCTTTCTTCAAGAATATGCACTACTAATTTAAGGTAAAAATCAACTGTGTTAATACACAAAGAGACAGAAATAGTGTTCTTGTGAGAAAGAGTGTCTGGTTACACATTTGTGTACAGCTAGAAAAGAACTTCTAATGGGTTTTGCAGGTACAGAGTAGTTACTGATGCTTGTTTCCAAATTAAAAGCAAAGAAATTGAATCACAGATCATTTAAAATTTACTGGAACATAGACGGAGCATTAGGCTGGGTCCTTGGGTATGTTAGCAGCAGCAGAAACTAGTAAAGATTTCTTGCATGGAAGGTAACCTTTATGAATTGGTGGCCATCAGCATCAAAGATCCACATCAGCTTTAAAGACTTAAAAAATCACCCAATTATTGAAGGCATTGATAAATTCACAGATTTTACCTAAATATTTGACATCAGTCAGGCAATGTATTCAGATCATTGTCTCACTGTGCTTTCTATTTTATATAATCAGTTATTTTATCTGAGCCCTGTGATCCAATCCGTATCTCAGTTAGGTATTTGAGTATTTGCTTTTGGTTTCCAAAGTTGAGTTTTTCTCATATACACAGCCCTTGCTTCACTTTTGAATTTTTTAATGGCCTTGGCCTGTCTGCCTTGTTTTCGTGAATTTCCCTATTGGGACCTATAAACTCTGGCAGGGCAACTGGGTCTTGACATCTGCTGAGAAATAATCTCAATGCCAACAGCCTGCCTGTGCACTTGAATCTCCAAGTATAGACCACTGTGACATTCTTGCACTCATCTTCCACCTGCAAGGGATGACACTGCTTAGAAAGATAAATTTCACATTTGATTTTCTTAGGATTGATTGTTGGGTCGCGTAACTTATGCCACTGGGATCCATGTGGAATATCACATTCTGCTTCCTGGCCTGGGTTCCTCTTCAGTTGCACCTTTCTCTGCTTCTTCCATCACCCCTGTACTGCTACCTAACATTAGATGTGTTCCAATCCCAAACCTTTCCAGTCTTCTTTGGAATATTCTAGTTGACGACCAATAGTATTCACTCAGAAGATATTATGATACCTACAACGAATGTCTTTCAATAAATTAGTATTCCACTTTCATATTGCCTTAATTAAATATTTAAACAAATTAGACAGATATAAGCTACCCCTTGAACTACTGAAGTTAGGAAATCGCTTTTAGATTAAAAAATATTGATGCCCAATCTTTGAATTTTGTTTATTTATTACATTCCTGAGTACCCTCTTAGAAACAGTAAACATAATATGTAAATTTTATGGAGAAGGAAAATTTATTTTTATTTGTAAATGTGACAATACAGTAATGTTTACAGGACTCACAGTTATATCAGATGCTTTTGATTTGTGTAAGTCGGGAGTTTAAATCTCAAGTTGTTTTGTTTTCCTATGGAGTGGTAGTTTTAAAAAGTCAAGCTGGCAGGGCGTGGTGGCTCACACCTGTAATCCCAGCATTTTGGGAGGCTGAGGCGGGCAGATCACAAGGTCAGGAAATCGAGACCATCCTGGCTATCAAGGTGAAACCCCATCTCTACTAAAAATACAAAAAATTAGCTGGACGTGGTGGCCGGCGCCTGTAGTCCCAGCTACTCGGGAGGCTGAGGCAGCAGAATGGCTTGAACCCGGGAGGCGGAGCTTGCAGTGAGTGGAGGAGATCCCTCCACTGCACTCTAGCCTGGGCGACAGGGCGAGACTCCGTCTCAAAAAAAAAAAAAGGTCAAGCCCTGCCTCATTAGATCAGTATTTCCTATTTAAAACACCTTTATTTTTTTAAAACGTCAAAGCTTGAATATATTCTGTGATTTATTCATTTAGTGGATTTAATACAAACAGAAATGATTTATATTTATGTTACACACAATGAGGCATTAAGCAAAAAGAAAATAAATAAATAATATGAAGACATAGCATTTATTAATTTACCACCTAGTTTTGTATAAGCTGTCAAATATTTTTTAATGCAAATAATGTAGAGACCAAAATAAACTTTCTCAAACTGTTAAAATCCATTACCATTTTGGTGAGGAAAATAAATAATTTATGTATTTTGGATGAATTATCATGCTGTAAATTTTGCTCTTTCCCGACTTGATAAAGTTGGGATGTGGCTAGTTCCATTTTCACTTTAACCAATGGGATTAATTTCTTACATTTGCAGATGGAAACACGGAAACGCCTGGCTAAAATTGTGCTTGTCTTTGTGGGCTGCTTCATCTTCTGTTGGTTCCCAAACCACATCCTTTACATGTATCGGTCTTTCAACTATAATGAGGTTGATCCATCTCTAGGCCACATGATTGTCACCTTAGTTGCCCGGGTTCTCAGTTTTTGCAATTCTTGTGTCAACCCATTTGCTCTTTACCTACTCAGTGAAAGCTTCAGGAGGCACTTCAACAGCCAACTCTGCTGTGGGAGGAAGTACTATCAGGAGAGCGGAATCAGCTACCTACTCAGCTCTTCAGCGGTGCGTATGACATCTCTGAAAAGCAATGCTAAGAACATGGTGACCAATTCTGTTTTACTGAATGGGCACAGCATGAAGCAGGAAATGGCACTGTGATTTTGGCCATTCAACTCACTACCTGGAGAGAACTTGGTAACTGTTAAAATTCCTATTCAGCAGATCAGAACTAAATAATTATCCTATTCTTGCTGTTGCTTAGCTAATTTATTAGGCAATTGCATGATTGACTCAGAAAATGCAAGACATTTTTTCTCTACACTAGACTTTATTTTTTTCTCTTTTCATTTCCTAATCATTAGAATATGAGAAAAGACTTTAAATTACTACATATAATACATATATGTGTGTATATATATGTATTTGCACACACATACACACATGTACATTACATGTATTTCACGTTAAAAATGATCCCCAAACCAATGCAATATGTATAATTTAACATTGCTTTAGTATTTAGGCTGTTGCTAAAGCCAATTCTAGCATATTTCTCTTAGGGTTCATTTTATCTCGAAACATGAAATAAATTTCTATATTGACTCAATGATTCAGTGAAGGTAATATTCAAACTCCTATTATTTGAAATACAAGTCAGATTGTCCTGGTGAATTTCATTCAATTCACAACTATTGCACGTATGTGTGTACGTGTATATATATGCATATATGTACACACACACCCACACACATCCTTCATTTGAAGAAAATAAAAAATTCAAAGGTGGAGCTTAATCACATCAGTATTTATTGTGATTCTGTGATTAATCATAATTTATAGAAATAATTCATGTCTGTAACTTGTATGTGATTAACAGATATAATGAAATTAATATTATGAATTATAAAATAGGTATGATATCAATATGATTTACATTATGAATGTAAAATAGGTATGATATGAATATGATTTATATTATGAATGTAAAATAGGTATCATATGTCTCAAATTGCAAAACTACAACTCACAAGTTTGCATGGCCATCTTAGTATATTGCTAAATCCTTGAATATTTGGACGATTTTGTATAGATGTGATAAGATTTGTATAATTCCGGTGAGTTCAACCATTTACTCATCCTCTCTTGCAATATCCAACTGACAAGTATGTGGGATCACACTTAGGCAGTTTTTTTCTGCTTTTCCTGCATGATACCGCAGTTTTCTCTGAATGAATGTGTTTTTTTTTAGGAAAATGCAAATGTATTGATTGCATTTTAAAAACTACCATTTTAAAAGCATGTATCAATAAATCTAATATTTAAATAAATATATTTCATACTATTTCTTTTTCCAGAATTGAGAAGACTCTATTAGTATACTAAGCTTTTCCTTAAACACCCACAACTCATGATATTTAAGATATAACATATTCAATTGTATATAACAATTAGAATAAATACAAATTAAAATATTTGATAATAATAATGATAGTGAACACTAATCAAGTGTTTTCTATGTTATAGGCATAGTCCTAAAGCTTTACATGTACTATCTAATTTAGTCATCAATATAATCACTGAGGTGAACAAGAGAAGGATCTAATTTTGGCAAGGTATGAAGTTATGCAATTTTGGGTAAGGTATTTTTATTTGAAAGAGTACATGATTTTGAAAATTTTGCAGAAACAACAGATCATGTGAGACCCCTGAACTTAGGCTTTGTTAATTTCATTGTAAATTTACCTCTGAAGAAGATCTTGTTATTATCTCTATAGATTAGGAAATTGAGGTTCAGAGATATTAAATAACTTAAAAATATGGAGCTTTTGTTTTTGGAGATCCAGTCAACACTTAGTAGCTCTGTTAACAAAGTAAGCAGGTAGAGGATTATCTGTGCAAATTATTACTTTTTAAAAATTTTAGATTCAGAGGGTACATGTGTAGGCTTGTTACATCAGTATATTGCATAATTCTGGCTTTGGGCTCATAATGATGTCATCACCTGAGTAGTGAACATAGTACCCATTAGGTAGTTTTCAACCCTTGTCCACCTCCCTCCCCACTATTGGAGTCCCCAGTGTCTGTTTTTCCCATGGTTGTGTTTGTGTGTACCCAGTGTTGAGTTCCCACTTGTGAGAACATGAATTATTTGGTTTTCTGTTTCTGCATTAATTTGCTTAAGATAATGGCCCCAGCTGCATCCATGTTGCTACAAAAGGATATTATTTCATTCTTTTTTCATAGCTATGTAGTATTCTATGGTGCATATGCACCACATTGTCATTAGTCCACCATTGATGGGTACCTGGGTTGATTCTATGTCTTTGTTATTGTGAACATTGTTGTGATAAACGTATGATTGCAGGTATCTTTTTGTTAGAACAATTTATTTTCCTTTAGCTATATTCCTAGTAATACGATTACAGTGTCAAGTAGCAATTTTATTTTCAGTTCTTTGGGAAATCTGTAAACTTCTTTCCATAGTGGCTGAACTAATTTGCATTCCCAACAATAGTCTATAAGTGTTTCCTTTCTCTGCAACGTCTCTGACATATTATGTTCTGACTTTTTAAATACCAGCCATTATGACTGGTGTGAGATGGTATCTCATTATGGTTTTGATTTGCCTCTCTCTGATGATTAGTGATGTTGAACATTTGCTCATGTTTGTTGGTTGCCTGTATGTCTTCTTTTGATAAATGTCTGTTCATGTCTTTGCCCACTTTTTTAATGGGGTTATTTGTTTTTTTCTTATTGATTTGTTTTAAGTTCCTTACAGATTCTGCATATTAGTTTTATTAGTCTGTTTTCACACTGCTGATAAAGATATATCTGAGACTGGACAATTTACAAAAGAAAGAGGTTTAATGGACTGAGAATTCCACGTAGCTGGGGATGCCTCACAATCACGTGTAAAGTGAAAGACACATCTCACATAGTGGCAGATGAGAAGAGAACTCATGCAGGGAAACTCCCCCTTATAAAACCAACAGGTCTCATGACACTTAACTCACTACCACGAGAACAGCATGGGAAAGATCTGCCTTCAAGATTCAATTACTTCCCACTAGGTCCCTCCCATGGCATGTGGGAATTCAAGATAAGATTTTGGTGGGGACACAGCCAAACCATATCATTCTGCCCCAGGCCCTCCCAAATCTCATGTCCTCACATTTCAAAACCAATCATGTCTTCCCAACAGTCCCCCAGAATCTTAACTCATTTCAGCATTAATTCAAAAGTCCACAGTCCAAAGTCTCATCAGAGACAAGGCGAGTGCCTTCTGCCTATGAGCCTGTAAAATTAAATGTAAGTTAGTTACTTCCTGGATACAGTGGGGAGACAGGCATTGGGTAAATACAGCTATTCCAGATGGGAGAAATTGACCAAAACAAAGTGGTGGGCTACAGACCCCATGCAAGTCCAAAATCCAGCAGAGCAGTCAAAACTTAGAGCAGTCAAAACTTAAAGCTCCAAGATGATCCCTTTTGACTCCATGTCTCCCATCCAGGTCATGCTGATGTCAGAGGTGTGTGCCCACAGCCTTGGGCAGCTCTGCCTCTGTGGCTTTGCAGAGTATAGCCCTCTACTGGCTGCTTTCATGGGCTGGTGTTGACTATCTGTGGCTTTTCCAGGAGCATGTTGCAAGCTATTGGTAGATCTACCATTCTGGAGTCTGGAGGATGGTGTCCCTCTTCTCACAGCTCCACTAGGTGGTGCTCAAGTAGGGACTCTGTGTGGGGCTCTGACCCCACTTTTCCCTTCTGCACTGCCCTAGCAGAAGTTCTCCATGAGGGTCTCACCCCTGCAGCAAATTTTTGCCTGGGCATCCAGGCATATCCATACATCCTCTGAAGTCTAGGTGGAGGTTCCCAAACCTCAGTTCTTGACTTCTGTGCATCTGCAGGCTCAACACGACGTGGAAGCTGCCAAGGCTTTAGGCTCACACCCTCTGAAGCAATAGTCTGAACTGTACTTTGGCCCCTTTTAATCATGGCTGGAGCATCTAGGATGCAGGGCACCAAGTCCCTAGACTGTACACAGCAGAGGGACCCTGGGCCTGGCCCACAAAACCATTTTTTCCTCCTAAGCCTCTGGCATGTGATGGGAGGGGCTGCTGCAAAGTTCTCTAATATGCCCTGGGAACATTTTGCCCATTGTCTTGGTGACACATTTGGCTCCTTGTTACCTATGCAAATTTCTGCTGCCAGCTTGAATTTCTCCTCAGAAAATGGGATTATCTATTCTATCACATTGTCAGGCTGCATATTTTCCAAATGTTTATGCTCTGTTTCCCTTTTAAAACTGAATGCCTTTAACAGCACCCAAGTCACCTCTTGAATGCTTTGCTGTTTAGAAATTTCTTCCACCAGATACCCTAAATCATCTCTCTCAAATTCAAAGTTCCACAAATCTCTAGGGCAGGGGCAAAATGCCACCAGTCTCTTTGCTAAAACATAACAAGAGTCACCTTTGCTCCAGTTCCCAACTAGTTTCTTATCTCCATCTGATACCACCTCAGCCTGGATTTCATTGTTCCTATATATCATGATCAGCATTTTTGTCAAAGCCATTCAGCAAGTCTCTAGGGAGTTTCAAACTTTCCCACATTTCCCTGTTTTCTTCTGAGCCCTCCAAACTATTCCAACCTCTGCCTGTTACCCAGTTCCAAAGATGCTTCCACATTTTCAGGTGTCTTTTCAGCACTACCCCACTCAACTGGTACCAATTTACTGTATTAATCCATTTTCACACGGCTGATAAAGAAATACTCAAGACTGGGCAATTTGCAAAAGAAAGAGGTTTAATGGACTTATAATTCCATTGACCGATGAGTCCTCACAATCATGTGGAAGGTAAAAGGCATGTCTCAAATGGTGGCAGACAAAAGAAGAGAGCTTGTGCAGGGAAATTCCCCCTTATGAAACCATCGGATGTCATGAGGCTTATTCACTATCATGTGAACAGCATGGAAAAGACCTGCCCCCATGATTCAATTTCCTCTCACCGTGTACCTCCCACAACACATGGGAATTCTAGATGAGATTTGGGTGGGACACAGTCAAACCATATCATTCCTTTGCTTTGCAAACTATCACATGCCCACACGCACACAGTATGATGTTGAGTTCATATTAAAATTAGCTTTTAAACTTCTGCATTTGTTGAATTTTACATATATTCGTATACACTTGTTTTACACTTTTATTTTTATAAATATTT